TATACTTTATGATTCTATTGTTGTTACAAACTCTCTCTGTTCCAATTCCTGTTCTCTTTAATTGAATCTTCTCAATCTTTTACTGGCGGCCATTTCACTTCGGTGTTACATATTACTTATATCTGTTAAATAAAGTAGCATACATCACACATATAGCGCCTTGAATAAATGTATCTTTGCAAAAGTGAAGCCTTCATACAAGTGGATAAAGAAGAAATTTCTCGTTGTAAAACAAATTTTCATTCTTTCTAAATATATATGACCTAAGGAAAAGGTTCATAATCTCAGTAAATAGATATCATTTACCATCTTGTTACTAACTGAATATGGTTTCCTGGGTACTCATTTTCTCCATATTTGATGATACACAAGCATATAATCACCTTTTAGGTAAATGTAACAATAACATTTATCAAATTAGAGAGTTTAACAAGTTTTCTCACATTATATACTAATATAGAAATTTTAAAAAATCAATTCAGATTGTTGATCAAATATTTATCTCCCTCTGGTTAACGTTTTCTTAACAAGATTGTTTCCTACTTTATGGGATTACTGGTATCGTTCCCAACCCTGGCTTGGGACCGTCAGTAAACCTAGAAGAACTACATACGGAGTTATTGTTGATCAAATATGTGACCGACAACAACAGACTATCAGTACCTAAAGTTACCATTCCCATTACATGACCTGTGGTAATAGTTATCAAATTTTTCACAGTTTTTTTACATTCTAGTTCTGTATTCACACTGATACAATGTCAGAAACATGTGAGGAAAATATGTTTGTCAACACAATTGATAATAGAATTTTACGGTGTTTAATTAAGCGAATCACTGTAAAACATCAGTTAACTACAGGAATGTTATTGATACTTGTAACTAAATAAACTATCAACAAAGTTCTTACTTCTATAGATTTAAAATTATTCACATCGGTGTACTTGTAACGAATGGGGTTAATGTTAAGGCTTAAAATCTCAAACATCTATCCTATTGATCACTTTTTGCACTGAACTATCCAACACCGAAAAAAATCAAACAATGTAATAGCTTTCAGAACTGTGATCACAGAGGTGAGACTATATTTTGAGCGACGCTAAAGTGACCTTGAAAGTGTCCACCTAATAGCTAGAACGAAATGAGGGTTATAGATCAATGTGAGGAATTAGAATTATGATTTACATTTGATGGTTAAGGTTAGAAATTAGATTTAGAGTTTTCCTCACGAAATGACATCAGTTATAATGTCAAAACTCTATTTAGACAAATGGATGAGTGAATTTCACACCGAAATCCAAGACCTCTTATCTTACACTTTATTGATTCATCTATAAACTGAAGTCTTACTTCAAATTATAATTTCCTTGTCTGCTATTTGACAAATTTACGATAAACAGTTAATCAATACAAGTTTCGTTTGATACACGTTTCTTCTCTGAGCTAGATAGTTTGATCGTGAGCTTTCATCCTTCTTCTGAACGACATCATCAGCACAAATTTCAGGTAGAAGAAGGATGAAAGCTCACGGCCAAACCATCCAACTCAGAGAACAAAACTCCATGAACAAAATCCATCTGATCTAAAATTCTTCTCCACTATCACACGTTCTGTTTATCAATTGAATAAGAGAATCATATTAGAGAAACTTTTAGTTAAACAATTGTTAATCTAAACTGATAAATTGATAATGATTATAATTTTATCAATAAACAAACCCTTATCCAAGTAAAAATCATAAGATTGATAAGAAGAAGTTAGAAATGTAAACATAAAATTTGTAATGTAAATATTGGTTAACAAAAATTACCGTTTATTAATGATAGTCTAAATAAACTACTGATTATGGTAATGTAATAGTAGATGGTAAGGGTTGTTATTTAATAATAAATAAATAGACAGACTCGAATAGACATTGTCTACTTGTTAGTGTGACAAATAGCTTCAATTAACTGATGATCTCAATCATTGAAATTACTATAATATTCATAGAAATCCCTTCTGATATGACACAACATATGTGCACCAGTGACTAGCTTCAAGAGGTATATCCTGGAGTTCTAGTGAAAAGCAGTGACCAGTAGAGTTCAACCAGGTCTGTTGTGAGATAATAGAAACTCATTGATGAGAATGGTGGATATTTGGCTCAGTTTCGTGGATTAGTTGAATCTAGACAATAACACCGTTGGATGAAGATCGGCTCAGTGGTCTAGTGGTTAAGCGCTCGCGCGCGAGACTGATAGGTCCTGGGTTCGAATCTTGCGGGGGGGGGGGCGGAATCGTAGATGCACACTGGTGAGGAGTCCCACAATAGGATGAAACGGTCGTCCAGTGCTTTCAGGTTTTCCATGTTGATCTAGCTTCAATTACCGCTTGGCCTCAACCATTGAAATTACTATAATATCCACAAAAACCCTTCTGAGATAAATATTTAACAATCATAAGTGATGAAATCAGAATATTGAGAAAAGATGTTTAAAATAATCATGAAGATATTGATATTACGGTTATTATTAACAGTTAGTTAGATTACTTGTTGATATTACAAAATATTCGAATTCGTTTTTCAATCTAATACGTTTCCTCTTGCTGAAGTTTATGCTAATGGACAAACAGGATGTATTGAATTCTTGATAATGGACATATGCATCTTAAAGTAAGCAATAATGTTAATTAAACGATTATTTGTTTTGTATATTTATAACTGCTTGAATCGTTATGTTGAAACAACATAGTGTTGAAAACTTGTAGTGCCTTTGGTTCGTTAATCAGTCAACTTTATAATCATTGTAGTGGTAAATAAATCACTAAGATCAATAGTTCCTTAAATCTTCGACATTTAATGCTAACCAGATTAGTTTTAATGAACTCACCTAGCTGAAGGTGCTCGGCCATTCATTCGCACCAGATCACGAGTGGAAACGCCGTGCTCAACTTCTCTCGCAAATGCTAGCCATTTTAGAGCAGTCACTCCTCGATATATTGATAACCTATCAAATATATCTTCGAACCTCTTTGCTTCAGACTTTTGGTTTCACTGGGTGTGCACGATTCAATTATAGGTGTTACTGGCTAAAGTGTTGTCAAACTACATATACTTCACCGTTACTATATAAGTCACAATAGTGTTCAATATCAGAAGGCAATAAAGAGCGGCAACTACAGCAGGATCACAAAGCTATAAGCACATCAAGAGATTTCGAACAAGAGAGGCGAACGTGTGCAGAGGCAAATTTATAGTCACATCTCATGAGCGCATAGCAAGGCAAAGCGAAAGTTAATAATAGGATTCGACTACATCATATATAAATGGGTAAGAGAATGACTCATCAAACGATATTTTACCTAACAACATTTTGGCTAGAGTCTGTCATGTGATCAAGCGTACACCTTTATACAGATATGATAATGACCATAATAGTACAAAGGATATATGTGAATTGCTCTTGTTCAAATAACATTGTTAAGTAAGTTAATATAAAGACTTAGCCAAAATCAACCATAATCGAAATTGGTTGTAGGAGAGTTGCTATAGTTTCTTCTATGACAATAATGAATTTAATGCATACACATTATACTGTACATTTGTGTGATCACACTGTTTTTGATGTAGATGTTTGCCAGTCAATTACTTAAAGCATATCATTGCTTGAATAATAAATATCAATTTCTAGTTTAATCAATATACATTCATATTTGACACAGACAATTATTTGAGAACTGAATATTAAATGCTAAAGGCCAAGCAACATATACACACTTAAAACGTTACTATCTTATCATGACTTTCCATCCAAATACTTCTTAGTTAACTACCTTAATATTGATCATTATAAATTATATAGTATTACGTTTGAATTGATCAAAGGAACCGATTACTTAATGTTACTCAATAATATTGTATATGACCAGATTTGAGTAACTTATTATCTAAATATCTTCTTTTTCTTCTAGACAATACCTTGTATTTCACAGATTGAAATCATGAGTCAATTGAAGCTAGACCACCATGGAAATCCTGGAAGCACTGAAAGGCCACTTCGTCCTAGTATGGGACTCCTCAGCAGTGCGCATCCACGATCATGCACCCCACGAGATTTGAACCCAGGACCTGTCAGTCTGGCGTCAAACACTTAACCAACTAGACCACTGAGCCAGTTGGCATCCAATGATGTTAATGTCTAACCTCAACCAATCTACGAAGTTGCGTCACCGTATACCTTGTATTACATAACAACTATTAATATATACAAATATAATCCACGAAATATTTTATTGATTAAATTACTAAACATTTTCAATAAGGAAATAGAATAAACGAATGAATCCATGTAGAACTCTAGTGGAATGCTGATCATTCATTTCGAACAACTAACAATGTAACTAAATATATTTCTAAGAGAAAAATCAATAAAAACGGTTATTTATCTCTTCTTTTTTTAGTGTTTACGTTACTATCTTGTGTTTCTATGTTTATTATACAATGAAAAGAAAAAAATGTTTATTAACTATGACATAAATAAACAGATGAAAATATATTTGAAAATATAGAATTTTTAAAATATGTGCATCTATTGTTGTGTAAAATGTAAATAGAGAAACCAAAAAGAGATGTACAGTATAATGTACTGTTCAATATGTACAATTCGACTTATATACAATGTAATATATATATATATATATATATATATATATATATATATATATATATATATATATATATATATATATATATATAGAGAGAGAGAGAGAGAGAGAGAGAGAGAGAAAGAAAGAGGGGGGAGAGGAATGACGCTCATCTAGAATTTTAACGAATTTTATAGGTTGAATGAAAGAGTAAATAGAAAAGTCACCATTGTTTCACAGTCAAAAGATCAAGTATATAAATATGTAAATATATATAATTATTTATTAAAATCTTCTCGTTTCTGGTTTTATGGTGACTTGTATAATAACCTAGTATCACCAGATGTATTAGAAACATATCCATGATTCACTATGTTATCTGTTTTCATTCAATTGGAAACATATGATTATAGGCAGAATTAAACTAATTTCAGTAATAAGTGCTGTAATGAGAAAAAGGCAAAAAAATACCGTAAGAGAGAATATTATAAATTTCACTGTATATGTATTATAAATACACAATTACAGGTTGATTTTAAAGTAAACACTTTTAAACATATTAAGCAACTGATGCGTTCGATAAAAAGTGTTCATTGCTTCTTACCGTCTTTATATAACACTAACCAGGAGTAGGTTGGAAGAAAGCTAGGAGTGGCCAGATCAAAACACGGCACAGATCCATGAAGTCATTGACAAGTGGACTGAGTCATGTTTGGTAGGTGTAGACTACCTGGTTGGGATCCGCGAGACAATAGCAACTACTGGTTAGAGATCTTGATTTAAAAATCATTTGCAATGGCGCAGGTGCAACCGCTCTTTGTGTTCTCCCAAATTCTAACCTTCGGAATTCTTCACGTCCCTTTTTTTTCTCTTTCCAAATTTATTTCACTGGATTATACTTCTTGAATAACATCTTCACACCCTGATTTTTCTGACTACTGCTTATACTTTTACTACTTCTACCACTATACATCTCTGTGCTTATGTGGTATGGTAACTCGAACTGATGTGCGTACGTACGAAGTTCTACGTTATTGCTGGCATTCTGACTGAATATAACACTAAATAAGTAACAGTTCTAAAAATATTCTACTTAGATAGTATTAGTTAGAATAGATGAATTTTCTTTTACATTTTGTGCAGCAAAATGCTTGATTTATGAGCATATAATTTAACAGTGCAGTGATTGTCATTGGATTATTTCATAATTGGGTAACAGAAATTTAGATTATTATTATTTTTTAAGATATAATCTCTTTTTTTCATCTTTGTTACCAGTACTTTTACACACTTGAATTTTATCTACTGATCCTGTAATACTGTAGAGTTTTATGTGGACACACCATATCCCAAAGTCTTTAAGACTAAATGATCAGCATCCATATAAATTGTTTTAAAAAATGTGAAGTTTAATTTCCGATTCATGGATCTTTGAAGTATATTAAGAGAAAAAACTAAAGTACGAGATGGTCGTTGGAGGTAGTCAACAGGAAACTCTGCACCTAGGTTTCGTGCTACTTGGCACTCGTCAGCAAGGTGTAACTGTAATCTTGAGGTAACTAATGCTCCCTGACGGATACGATCCCGTGTCGCCCAGCTTCACAGCCAGAGACGTTACTACTGAACCATCCGACCCGCGACTGGTGTTCTGTAGTACTGAACTGTATTTACAATTGATTGATCACTGGGTGGTGATCAATGTCATGTATGTTAGGTCCTTCTTAGTGCAGATCGAGGCTAGGTAACACGGGATCGAATCCATCAGGGAGCATCAATTCCCTCAAGATTACAAATGAACTATGCTGACGAGTGCCAAATAGCACGAAACCTGAGTCCAGGGTTTCCTGTTGACTACCTCCAATCACCATCTTATCTCAGCATAATGCACGCCATATCGAGTCACCTAGACTGATTGCAACATTGTAACTTGGTCGATAGGATTCAATCTGTACTAAAAAGGACCTGATATACATGAGATAGATCACCACACAGTGATTAATCAATTGTAATAGTTTTCAATATCTCTATGAGTAGAAATTAGGATTCTTAATGTTTTATAACAGTATCATATACTTTAACAAAAGAAAATAAATAACCGACAATTTTATTACTGTAAATTCAAATCATGATTAATAAATGTTCATTGTCAATTATTCTTTATATCTATAATTTAATGATTATTCAATACTGTATGTATGTTTCTATGTGGGACTTTTAAATTGATTCAGACAAACAAACAAAAAACCCCATTTTTAATAACTTCACTTACTAAACATTGAACAATTAACCGGTTTATTTTGAATAATTCCATTTTGATTAGTTATCGTTAAATAGTTTTCTTTTTTTCTTTTTTCTTTTTCTTCTTTTTCTTTTCTTTCTTTTTCTTCTTTATAAGTATGTTTTATATAATTTTGATCTTTTAGTTCAAAACTATAAAATAATTTAAAACCTAATTCATTTGGTTTAGTTATATGGTCACTTTTAAATATTAATACCATTAAATTCTTTGATGAAATAAAATATTCAGGTTTAATTGTTGTATACAAATTTTGTTGATTATTGGTTATAATTTTATTTTCACAATATTCTATAATTAATGGATCATCAATATGGATTCCATCGATTAATTGAATACGATCACCTAATGATTGATTTTCATTTTCACAGCTAAAAAAAAGAAGAATATAAAATGAGAAGGGGTTTTGTGGAGATTTTTTTAGTAATTTCAATAGTTGAGATCATGAGTCAATTGATGCAAGGTCAACATGGAAAATCTGCAAGCACTAGACAACCGGTTCTTCCTATTTTGGGACTCCTCACCAGTGTGCATCTACGATTCCGGCCCCCCCCGCAAGATTTGAACCCAGGATCTATCAGTCTCGCGCGCGAGCGCTTAATCACTAGACCATTGAGCCGATCTTCATTCAACGGTGTTAATGTTTAAATTCAACTTATTCACGAAATTGGGTCATCAACGAGTTACTGCCTTATAATAGACCTGGTTGAACTCTACTGGTCACTGCTTTTCACTAGAACTCCAGGATATACATCTTGAAGTCAGTCACTAGTGAACATATGATTATTATTATAAAGGGTTTTGTGGAGATGCCGGCCCAGTGGTCTAGTGGTTAACCGCTCGCGCGCGAGCGGTTAGGACGAAACGATCGTTCAGTGCTTCCAGATTTTTCATAGTAGTCTAGCTTCAAGTGACTCATGATTTGAACTATTTGAATACAAAAGTGTTTATAATAAATAGGTAACATAATAAGCTGAATTATAATTGATATCAGAATGAGGTTTTTGCGTATATTATGGTAATTTGATAGGTGAGTTTTATGAGTTAATTGAAACTAGATCATCATGAAAACCATAAAAGTACTGAAGGGCTGTTTCGTTGTATTGTAGGACTCCTCAGTAGTGCGTATTGATGATGCCCGCCTTGTGAGGTTTGAATCTAGGACCTATCAGTCTCATGCGCGAGCGCTTAACTACTAGACCATAATATATAATTGTATTTAAAGTGAACATTTTAAAAAAATCACAACAGCTTTATGGAAGATGATATTTAAACTTGGATTATTTACAAATTACGTAAAGAATCAACCCGATCCAATTCAAGTTTAGTTTTAAGGTGACTTTCTAAAACTAAGTTTAAATAATCAGTTATAGTGGGATATTTTCAAAATAGTAAATAGTACTAATTATCATACTTAACATATACTGGTCCAAAATTGAAGAGAAAATGTTTATATCTACATACACCAATTTGATATTTCATCCATACAATAAATATATTCCAATGAAACTAAATTACCTACATTAAAACTACCAAATTTGACAACCTACAGCACTATGATATTTTATGTTTATGTAGTATGTAATTATTGCCAAGAATGCTGATAGGTTTATTAATGTATTCAAAAAATCATTGTATTATATTTTTATAACCCAGTATTTTCTTAAATTTCACACATGTAGCTCATTATAAGGCAATTATCAGTATAGGGTTGTGAGGATGGCTGAGTTTTAATTGAGATCATAAACCAATTAATGTTAAATCACCATTGAAAATTTGGAAGCGATTGAAGGCCGTTTCGTCCTGGCATGGGACTCCTTAGAGGTGCGAATAGAAGATACAGCATGCAGGATTCGAACCCGGACACATTCGGTCGCGTGTGCTAATGCCTAACCTCTGGATCACTAAGCCGGCATGCATTGATGCTAATATCTAACTGGAAGTTTTCAATGTTGGTCTTACATTGATCATTTCATAAACTCACTTAAAACTCAACAATCCTTACAACCATACACTGATACTTATCGTGTGCTCACTAGTGACTAGATTCGAGAGGTTATTCTTTTGAGAAGCCATAACCAGTTTAGTTCATTCATGTTCGCTGTGAGGCAGTCATTCACTGGAGACAATCTCGTGGATTGATTGAAGTTAGACATTGAAGCCATTGGGATTGTTGATGCGCAATTTTGAGTTGTCCCATACTAGGAAGAAACGGCCCTCCAGTGCTTCCAGGTTTTTAATGATGGTATAACATTGAACGGTTCATGATTTCAATTATAAAATGATTACTGATAGGACTAAATAATTATTTAGTTTAGTTTTACTATAACAATGAAACATTTAAATACCACAAAATCATAGAAAGAGAGAAATGAAAAGTTAATTTTTGTTTTTCCTTTGAAGTCAATATTATTTGTATCAAAAGGGGTTTAGCGGATATTATAGTAATTTTAATAGTTGAGATCATGAGTCAATTGAAGCTAGACCATCACGAAAGAACTAGAGGGGTCGTTTCATCCTATTATGGGACTCATCAGAAGTACGCACACACGAGATTCGAACCTAGGACCTATCAATATTTTTTACCAAAAATATTACACCAACTAAAAACACATTATTCTCAAATTTGTTTCTTGATTCGTTTACCACTTTTCTTAATGGACGATAGCTAAATTTTCGCAGTTATTTAATGCCATAGATTAAATGTGCAGCTGTTAACTGAAATCATTTACATAAGAAAATGTTGTGTTGAAGAATGCGTCCAACAGCTCGTATTGTACAAAAAATCACTTGGATTTAACAACAGAATTAATTCACAGATTCTATATGAAGTTCATTCATAGGAGACAATATCTTAACCATTATTCGTTCCATCTAACAGTTATAAAACCATCCCTCTCCAGAAAGACGATTTAGCGTACATTTAAAGATTACTTTAGTGTGACTATGTCGTTAACAGTGTAATCTGCAATTAAGAGTTTGTGATATGACTTTGTTCACGTGCTTAATAACCATGAATTGATCGATTCATCTTGACTTTCATTTGTATTCAATGGAGTTCATAGGTAACATGATAGTATATTGTTTGTTTAGAATAACATTACTTTTTACCTAACGCGTTGGTATGATGATGATGACGCCCATATACGTGAAAGTTTCTACATCTTCCAGAACTTTTTCAACAAGTGTGATTGGGTTAGATGGGTAGGACATACATAGAGGAAATTATCAAACTGCATCACAAAGCAACTGCTAACTTGGAATCGTGAAGAGAAACGCAAAAGAAAGGAATCAAACAATACACGGAGTCGAGAATTGGAGGCAGATATCAAAAGGATGAATAGCAACTGAAAACAACTGGAAAGGATTGCTTAAGAGAGAGTTCGATGAAAAATGCTGTTTGGAGGCCTATACTCCTTTTTGGGAGGTATGATAAAAAAATAATCACTCAACAGTAAATCAGTGTCAAAATTCAAAAAGCATTTCTGAGCATATTCCGAAGAACTTGACGCTGCGAGGGACTGAAGCTTTCAACAGTGCAATAGCTCGGCATCTACTTGACACCGGGCATACCGTCGATATTCTGCACGCGTTTAAAATCATCAATAGACAAAGAAGTACTACCACTCTCCGCTTTGCTGAAGCCATTCCAATTAAGAAACTGAAACCGGATTTATGCATTCAAAAAGAGACTTTAATAAACTTATCATTACCCTGGTAATCTCTTTTGTTTCCGTTTGATTTTTGTGTTTTGGTTATTTGGTTATTTTATTCATTTACTTATTTTAAGATATTTTATACTCCCATATTACCTAATTCTTAAACTAAAATTTTATTCACACATTTCCACCACCTGATCCTCTTAAATTATCTTAACTTTCCCAATCCTATTTAATTATTATTATTATGTAATCTACCTTATCACAATTACCACACAATTTATGAAATTCACTAAATTATTACACCACCCACCCTGTATTAACCCCCCTCTTTTGACCTCTGACCTGTTTTCAGCACATATATATATAGTTGTTATTGTAATCAAGTTATTTATACTCATTTATGTCGATTGTTTCACACTATCTCCATGTAAAAAATTCTATCACAATTTTGGTTTGTAAGCAGCTGACGAGAAACCTCGAAACAATAGGAATTCATACTATTCTGCATCAATGTTTGTTCTTGCTCTATTTAAAAGTGTTTTAAATAAACATTCATACTTCATATCAATGATGATGTACTTACTTATTTGAATTTCCAAGTTCTAAAAATAAAAATTTCACTAAAATTATCTCTGTAGGCTGACCTATAAAAGTATACATTGTTATAATTGAAGGTGGATAAGGTTCCGGGTATTGAGGTGAATGAATTATACCTTGTGTACGATTTACTGGACCTTTTGAAACAATTAATTTTCTTTGTACATATTTTGATTTCATTTCATTATTGAATTGATTAGAATGATGAAAGTTCATAAAATCTGGATCCGATGAATATTCATCTGAAATAAATAAAGTAAATAAATTTATATCCTCTTGTTTTCTTTTATTTGGTATAGCTTGACATGTTTCTTTCTTTTACCATGTAATAGTTATCTAGACTAATATATATCATTAACAAGGTTTAACTTGATCATTTCGAATAAATTGAGCATTAGGTTGATTGTTATAAATGAAGATTATATTTTTTGTAATATCCCAATGAGTAGAAAAAATTACATTTTCTAATGTTTCGTAACTCAGTGTAATCCCCTTCTTCAGAGAATGAATCATCAAATCAAAATTAATCCAAGTTTAAATAGTGCACACGGAACAACGCAAGAATAGAAGAAAAAACAGTTCTGAACAATTTAAACTTGGGTTAATTTTGATTTGGTCATTTATTTTCTGAAGAAGAGTCACAAGACATTAGAAAATCTAATTTTTCTACTCATTGGGATATTACAAAAATAATATTTATTTAGATCTTGATTAATGTAAGGCATTTCAAGTGCTAATTAAATTCCATTCACTAAATCCCATTTTAAATATTTTATAACGTGTGGGCCTTTTGTCCTATTAATACATAACGTAATGACACTACCAATTAGAGAACAGTGACTTATCGGTTGGACCAATGACGTTTAAACCCGTACGAAAAATCTAAAGTCCTTATCGGTTCTTCTTCATGCCTAGATCTACCTGTTGAGTCCAGAACACCAATTTCAGTCTCTGCAATATGAATCATGTATTTCAAACATACTGGGTTTATATACAAACCAAATACACCACATCGCACCACAAAAGAACATTTGTACAAAATCTAGCCAAAAGTGGCTCTGAATGTGGCAGACTGTAATTGATAGACTGGGCAAAAGTCAAGAACAGTAAATTGCATAATAATAGTCTATGGGTCAAAATAAAGATTTCATTAAGAGGCGCATGAATATTCATAATTTAGCCACTTGATAATTATACAGTAAAAATATATGTGTGGTGGTCGGTATTCGATATAATCCTTAAACTTCGTATACAGCTCGTCTTGATAACCGTTCTATATAACGTCCCAACGGTATATTAATCAGAAGGCAAATACGGAGTGTTGATTACGTTTATTGCGAGACCACACACATATATCCAAATGTACAGATGCGTTAAACAAGCATAGAAGAGTTGTGCCGAAAGGCGAGCAAGCGAGCGAGAGCCAGAGCAAGACGAGAGTGCGCGTGTGTTGAATATGAATAACATGGACATATATATACCATGTCAAATGAATGAGTAATCGAATCAAATAAGCAGTTAGTAGTAAGACTAGCAGAGTGAATAAATGCGTAGGCCGTAATCAATATTCAAGCATACGTATTTCATACAAGCACAAAATAATAAGGGTACAATAAGTTGTTATAGTGCGGATGACTTTGTCCGCTTAATGAGTTAGCAAAAGGGCTTAACTGAGTTAAATGAGAATAAACTCAATTGCACGTGAGTCACTATATATGTACCGTATTTGTCCATAAATAGTTCATAATTTTCATCCAGATATAACAAATATTTATACAATGAAGCATTACTTTAAACTTATCATTGATCATATTCATTGCGCATTTACAGTATAATTTGTAGGAATGAAATATGGAGTGATAGTTTTTTTGATAAAGTTGATTCCGTGGTTGTGACGCTTGTCTTTGATGAGTTTAACGAATACTTGTTTTGATTGAGATCATAAATTGAATAATGTTTGACCACCATTGAAAACCTATAAGCATTGGACGACCGTTTTGTCCATGAACCGGCACGTGGGGTCCGAAATGGTCGTCCTGTGCTCTAAGGTTTTAAATGGTGGTCTAAAATCGATCGATTAATTATCTTAATCAAAAACGTAATCTGCACAACCCCATACTGATTAGAAATATTTCACTTACTGTATAAATACTTAACAAGGTAGAACAATGGTGCTTAAAACGGCATCTGGAGCTTAATACGGCTAAAGTGGATGGATATGCTTCGGCGATACATCATTCAACTTAGATCTTACCGTAAATGGTGAAGTGTTATCTAGGTTACATACAGTAGTAGACTTAGGACTTAGATACTCCCAAGACTTGCCGTTTACAGAACAGATAATAAAACAGACCTCTAAGTCTCAACGTCTAATAGGTTACATAACTCGAAACGTTTACAACAATGAGTCACGTATTTTAATGTACAAAGTTTGTGCTCGACCTCTTCTAGAATATTGCACGTTTATTCTTAGCAGTGCGCTCATAAAGGATAAATTAAGGCTGAAATCAGTACAAAGACGATTTACACTTCGTATTCTTGGAGCTGATTGCACCTTAACTTATAATTGTAGATTTAATAAACTTGGGCTAGACCCTTTATGGAAGAGGAGACTCAAACTAAATCTTATCTCTTTCTTCAAACTTCTTAATAAACTATCCTTTACATCCAATCACGTGATTCAATATGCAGAAACTTCTCATTAAGATATCCGTAAGTCCTTGGCATTAGTGAAACAAACTTATTCTAAATCATCTCTTTATATGAATTACTTTACCTGTAAATTTTCTAGACTCTGGAATAATCTACCACAATCTATCCGTACGATAAAATCACTCCCATTATTTGTTCGCTGCATCATGACATACTGCTCCTCTGAAAATACATTGAATGTTCTAACACCTGTAAGTGTATCTCATTCCACAAGTGATATTATAGAAACTTTAAATGTTTAGTCATCTTTATTAGTGCATTCCCTAAGTAAAACCACCTACTTGCTGTCACTTTATGTTAACACCGTCCCCAGCAAGTTTAACTAATTTGAATAATATCAACAATAGATCGGTGTGTCACATGACACATGCATTTAGGTAGACCGGATTGACATATTTTGGTAATTACTGCTTTTTTGTTCCGTGCTTTCTGTTTTCGTTTTAATTTCTCTAGTTGTAGATAATTATCATTATTTCGATCTGGCACACGAAATTACCTTAACTACTCCGTTCATAAATCAACGGGCTGTCCATTTAAGAAATATTAAAAATTCCCAGATGATGCATTGGATCGCTGTAATACATGTACTACCTAAACAATTACTGAACTAGTATACTTAAAACTTTCTTCTATAACATGTTTGTTCTGTACATCTAATGTCACTATTTATATCGAATTGACCATGCCTTTAAACTGGAGTGAATTCTGTAATTATTATTTTCAGAATATATAAATTATTATTATTACTTACCCTAGCATATTATCATTGATTAGTAGTTTAGTTAAACGTAACTTATTAAGATACAACAGAATAGTTGTTAATTTTTTAAAGCAGATGACTTATGTACTATATACCATGGATACATTTTTGTTCCTGACAGATTTTTGATAACTCTGACTTACTGAACTAATGTCATCTGTACAGAAGAAAATTATTTTCAACATAGAAATTTAACTGTGATTGATTAGAATATAGTTTCTTACAATTTTCATTCATTTTATCTTCATATGTATTGAATGTTGTTTCAAAAGTAACTGAATGTAGCTTGATAAAATGAATTAGATCATTCTATCAAAGAATTAGAATTCGCTTCTAATAACTAAGTCATCCATGTCAAACCCCGGTGGATGCTGATAATGGAGATTAAGATTATAGTGTATGGTATCATACACATAATTAAAATTACTGAAGTTATTTATTGTATTCATGATACATGTACAACGACAGATGCAAATCGACTGCTAGAAAATATTTATATATGGTAAATAAATAATCGTTTCATTACCAGTTGACAATATACTGAGTCATTTGATAAATTTAGCTAATTAAAATAACAAAATTGTGGATTTTATTTGTAGTGAACTGATAGAGGGGCTATAGAAACCTTATTGTCTGTATCCAAAATAAAACAGTACATTCTTAAATGCATTATGAAAGTTCACTTTCGATTTGCTAATGAATACTATAGACAATTAGATGGTGTATTCATAAAGTCACCGGTGAGGTCTCCCTTGGTACAAATTTCTCTTGCATAACTGGAAAGTGGACCACTTAAAGACATAGTTAACCATCTAACATCTTACTGTTATTACATAGATGGTACTTTCATGGTATTAGGAAAAAATGGGAAGGATAATTTACTTAACATGTTTAATAACATACACACATCTACTACATTTACACTTGAGAAACAATAGAGTAATAGCATATCGTTTTCAAATGTCCAACTAATCGGCAAAGTAGATAGGACACTACAAAGAAGAATACATAAAAAGTTTGCAGTTGGACAATTTACTCATTTCTATAGTACTGGATCAATCAGATACAAAAGAAACTTAGTAAAGATGATGACAAATTGTGCTAGAATGATTTGACGTGACCTGCTCAGTAAAAATGGCGACCCAGAGAAATTTCTCAAGGAACATATGAATGAGATGACAAGAAAACCAAATTTGTCTACGGTTCTGAAGAAAGTACTACTCTTAAAATTACGATTACTAAATAGTGATGCTGAAGAAACTGTAACTCAAAAGTTCAGAAAAGCGGTGCAGAAAATATTCAATGCAGACAGACAGAATGCTGTTTTTTACAATTAACACAATGAGAACCCCCAATACAGGCTTCATGAATTCGCTACATCCATATGTATTTACCAATCCAACTGCTCCTATGAAGTCAGTTATATAGGGAGTACAATTCAGCAAGTCCATCATCGCATAGCAGAACACCATCCGTATTGGTTAAGCAAAGAACAGGAATGAGTGATTAAGAGTTCTGTTATCGTTTATTTGGTGGACTCAGGTCATAAAGTTGATTTAAATACAGCTTTTAAGGTTGTCCACCATATTCCATTAAAATTACCACATAGTATACAAGTTTGTTGTATATTACTTAGGCTATCGGAATCCATGTTCAAAAACTTAACTTTTGCGTTCGAAAGAAGTTTGTACAATAATCATAGCTACCTAAGCCATCAGTATACGAATGAGATTTTAGCCGAACTTTGATTAAACCCACTCCTTCAAAAATACCCCTGATTTCTTCCTTTTTTTGTATTTTCGACGTTCGTCTCATGATTCTAGAACACCATTGAAACCTGGAAACACTGGAAGGATGTCTCGCTCCAGTATGAGACTCTTCAACAGTGATCCGGTTCAGTGGTCTAGAGGTTAAATGTTCTCACGAGAGACAAAATGTGTTGGATTTGATTTTCGTGCGCAAGATCGTGTATGCGCACTGCTGAAGAGTCCTATACTAAGACGAAACAGATGTTCAATGCTATACAAACAGATAATGATATGTGCTTTCTATCAATTTTTATTTAAAATATCCAAAGCATATTTAAATGCAAAAATAATACAAAAAATATATTATTTAGTTACCTTCGTGAAATTGCATATTTCTTGTGGATGTAAATCCAGCATCAGCAAAAAATAGTCTGGACTTATTGGTATTTGACAAATTTTCTAGTTTATCTTGATTATTTCTAGAATTTTGATATTTTTCTTCATGTTCATTAGTTTCAACTAGTTGATCATCTTCTTCAAGAAATGGAGAAGGTAAAACTTGAGATTCATGAACAAATTCATAAGTTCCATGAAAACCTTGACCTTGATAGAAAGGACTACGACTGATAAAATCCAATTTTAATATAGAAGTATGTGAAACAAGTTGTATATTCACTAGGTTAGTACAAAGATATGCCAATGTTCTCGATTTATTCTTGTACATCTCAGATATGGAAATAAAATCATTTTGCACAGGTATAGAATTTCTTGTACTGCATCTACTTGTTAGGAAAGAGAAAAGTTTATTAATTTATCTATGTTGCCATGCCAGATACACAAATCTATATTCTAGTTGATAGACTATGTTGGCTCTCATCTGATTTACTTATTTCTCATAGAACAATAACTGTTGTAGTACTTTTGAAACTTAAGTAAACCTAATATACATTTATAAGCGAAGATGAATAATGGACTTCAGTTGAATCAAGGACACACGTTTTGTCCTATGCAAGACTCCTCAGTTGTAGGTACTTGCATCTCGGAGTTGATGTTCACTCTGAGAATCGATCTCAGTACCCTTGGCTTCAAACGCCATAGCGTTATCCACTTAGCTACTGATTCCTGATAGTCTTCTACTTGTGCAATGAGGTTAAGTTTAAATTCAATTGTTGTTAACTTGTATCTCACTGCTAGCCGCTATCGATCTTAGCTTATAAAGCCTGTGACATAAGGCAATATAGAGGCCGTTCGTACAGGATGCATATAGGCCAACAAGAGACTGATCAATGACAGTCCTAAATAGCAATGGGAAGATACGAGTAAACAACACCAAGGGAATCTAATATACATTTGTTACTAGAAGTTTAGTAAAACATCGAAATGAGTTACATTCAAGTTTAATAAAATGTGAATAGAATTTTCAAGAAATTTATAAATTATCAACTGCGGTTAGTGAAAATACTGAATTAGATAAAATAGCGATTTTTTGCAATTTGGTCATGTATTTCAGTGAAAGAGGATAAAAATGTGTAATGTAGGGTAAGATTAATGGATGAGATCATCTTTTGATCAGTTTTGCAAACTGAGAACAAACATTTAGAGAACTAGATTATTTCTTTGATTTTACGCTTCTGCAACTGACTAATCTTAAATTAAACGAGTTATATCAAGGTGTAGACTGTTTGAATGCACGAAATCCATTATATATATAGCTATGAATAAGCTATGATATATAAATTCTCCTCTTAGTCCTGTAAATTTTACCTAAGCTAACCCTGTTAGTTAATGGGGTCAATTAAAGATAAATGCTATTTAATCTGGACATTTCTTAGACAGACTGTATGAGTGTAACATGGAGTAAAGCTTCTCAATCTACTTAATTTTACTAAACATGACACAACATCGTTAATAATACCGTTTAGAACAAGCTAAAAACAGATAACGAATATAGTAGGTGATAAGTAAACATATATACACATAAGCTTATATAAAAGTAACCAGTTTTTCAAGTGAATAACTGATGAAGCTAAATATGTATATTCATATTGACTCAAAAATATAACATTGATTTATTTGTCGAAAAGTTTTAATAAATCACATAGATATTATGAAGAATCTCTACACGACTAAACCATCCAGCACAGAGAACAAAACTCCATCAAAATCATCCACCTGAGCTACAAATCTTCTCCACTATCTCTATCTATACATGCTCTATAAGATATCATATACTTTGGTACTTAATTCATAAAGTTGAAAAAACTTGTTTATCATGGGGATTTTGTTTTAATAAAAACATTAAATGTATACAGTTTGGATGATTCCTGACCATGCTAACTTTAGAAAAAACGCATTTCAAGTTAAGAAAATTGTGGAAAAAGACTAGACTTGAGAAGCAAGTATATTTTTGCAATAAAAAGTAATTTGAAAACAATTTTTTTAAATGATGCGTTGAAATTTAACAGTTGAATTCATGATTCAATTGAAGCTAGACCACCATGGAAAACCTGGAAGCACTGGACGGCCTTTTTGTTCTAGTATGGTACTCCTCAGACGTGAGCATTCACGATCCTGCCCCAGGGGATTCGAGCCCAGGACCTATCAGTCTCACGCGCAAACATTTAATCACTAGACAACAGAGCCGGTCGGCATCCAACTGTGTTAATGTCTAACTTCAACCAATCCAACTAATTGTATTCACTATATGAACCATGTACGCTGATTAAATCCTTATGATTAATTAAAACATTTATTCAGTAATTTTACCTCGTGAACTATTAAAATACGTTTTTTTAATTTAAAGAAATACAGTCATATAGCAAAGATGGATAATGGATCTCAGTGAAATCTTATTTGGGACCCGATTCCCAGAATGAACGTCAGCTCTGCAATGTAGGTGCATCCAGCTGACATATCCCAAATAGGACAAAACGTGCATCTTGGATTCCACCGCCAACCACTATTCATCTTTGCTTAAAATGCTTGTGACTTAAGACAATATCGTGGCAATCCGCATAGGATGCACATATACCAACAAGCAAACAATACCAAGTGAACAGTCATATAGGTTAAATCTCCATGGATACAAATATTTCTTTTTCTCACGAAATTGTATACACACTTGATAGATTTACACAATTCGAACTAATTTCTTATTTATTCAGAAAAAAATTTTCATTTTTCAAATAATCAAATCAAAAATTAAATCATGTTAAAGCTCATTAATATTAAAAATCAGCATTTTGCTTGTTGCATAATTGATTTATAGGATTGTCAACAAGTTAAAAATATGATTTCTTCAAAAACCAGAAAAACAGTTAGTTTCATCATGAAAAACTGCTATTTATAATGCTAGACATTTTGGTAATTGACTTTATATATTTTCAATAGTTGAGATCATGAGTCAGTTGAAGTTAGACCTCCATGGAAATCCTGGAAGCACTGAACGTTTTATCCTATTATGGGACTCCTTAGCAGTGCCAGATCAGTGGTCTAGTGGTTAGGCGCTTACACGCGAGACTGATATGTCCTGGGTTCGAATCCTGTTAGGCGGTTCGTGGATGCACGCTGCTGAGGAGTCCGACACTAGGACGAAACGGCCTTCCAGTGCTTCCAGGTTTTCTATGGTAGTCTAGCTTCGATTGACTCATGAATTCAACTATAAAATTACTAAAATCTCCGCAAAACCCCTTCTGATAAAATTGTTTGGTCAAGGTACTAGTTCCGTGAGGAAACTTGAACAAGGAATAACTAACATGATGTAAAAGAGGGATTACAATGCTAGATCATGTAATATGAATAATAACAATATACTTAATGAGTCAGTAACGAATTATAATGTGATTGTAGTAAGAAGACTAAAATGTATTTGCTACAACAATTATAGGTAAAGATAATAGAACTATGAAATAAATGAAGTAATATTATGAGCAATTATGAATAAAATAATGAGAATATGGGACATAAGTAAGGGGAGGAATGCAGTAATAATAATTATAATTAAGGCCAAGTTAACGACGTACTTCTTTTGTGCGCATAGCTCTAGCTTGAGCTCATAAACGGTAAAAGCTTCGGCTATTTTTAGGAGTTGGATACTGAGAAATCTAGGTAGATTTGGACGGATCATGTATACAACCTTAAAATCAAACTGTGGATCAGTAAAATACTTACACTTGATTAAATGTTCAAGTATGGAGCTCCTGACTACCTTCCTTTTACTCTTGTGGAAGCACACTGGGACATGTTCCAGTATCTGATTTGAATGGGAGCGCTGGCTAGGGCCAACGTACCTCGCTCCATAAGAGCAGGTAAACTGGTAAATGCACATGGAGGCGACCAGACGGGGAAGTTTGTCGTTTATGGATACATAAGACAATTTCCTACTAGCGAATGTTATTCCTAGTTTTGCCGCCTGGAATGTTCTTTTTATCGTTGTCATCCAACGATTCTTGATGACATCAGATGTTCGATTACCTTTAAATTTCAAAATTATATAAAGGTTTTTCTTTGGAACAGAAAACCGGATTCCTTGTCACAACTACTTTTTTCCATAGCCGAAGGTCCTACCATCCATGAGCTCAGGCCAGAGCTATGCGAGCAAAAGTAGTACGTCATATCGTTATCGTTACCTTGACCTTAATTATTATTATTATTCATGCATTCCTCCATTTATGTACATTCTAAAACTATCAGTTGATAGATTTCCTGTTATTGTTTATCTACATTATGATATTGTGAAGTTGATTTATTCATTCCATCGTTTATATGGAATAAATTTCACATTCAACTTTTTTTAAATAGTTCTTTTGATAATAACAGATTCATATCAGAAGGAGTTTAGTAGATATTAAAGTAATTTTAATAGTTGAGATCATGAGTCAATTAAAGCTAAACCACTATGGAAAACCTGGAAGCACTGAACAGCCGTTTCGTCCTATTTCGGGACTCCTCAGATTTGTTATAAACATCTCACAAATCAAGCGGAATTTCTATAATGAATGAATTTTATACATTGGTCTTTTAATCATTTGTAAAATGTAATTATTATTATGGACGTGTAATGAGCAACTCTAACTGAAAATTAATGATTGTTTCATCTAACTCATTATGAAGCGCCAACTGAATTTTTCACTTTATCATCATAATGATAATTGAACAAAACATTTTCAATCATAATAAACCTTCAAGTTATAAACATCAATCAGTTCATGATCTTAATCAAAAACTTAACAATCTCCACAACCCCTAAACTGATGAAATGATTAATTAGCTGAATAACTCTAACATACAACTTAATAATGTTCCTGCGTGACTGAATATATTTTCATTGAAAACTTACATTTGAAACATGTATTATGGTCATAACATAAGAAAATATTTCTACACAGAAGGTACTTAATACTTTCATTCATTTTACATTGCTTGTTTGAATCTTCCCAGTCCACTGTTAGCCACTATAAATATATGCTTATAATGCTTGTAAATTAAGACAATATCGAAACAATTCTTACAGAATGTACATATACTAATATGAGGTTGATCAACTGCAGTCCCAAATATCTATGCGAAGATTCAAACAAACAATATGAACTAAAATTTCACTCCATCACACAAGCTAGTGGCTATTAAAACTCAGTAACTAAGCGAATATCGTGATGGCATTTGAAGTGAACGGTATTGAGTTCGAGTCGTGGAATGAATACCAACTCTGAGATAAGGATGCATCGAGCTGACGAGTCCTGACTAGGGCGAAACGCATGTCCCGAATTACATCTCTAACTACCATCCATCTTTGCTTTAGAATACTTGCAACTTATGACATTATCCAGGCAATCTGTACAGGATGCACCTATGCCTATAAGAGACTGATCTATTTCAGTCCCAACACATCGAAAGATTTAAAGAAATAGTTACAATTATTTATTACATAAAGAAACTATATGATTTTTGTTACTAACCTTTCTATATTACTTATATTATCTTCATTTGTCATTGATTTTAATCGAATTGAATGAAATGTTAATAGAATTCGTTGATTATTATCTGCTATAAAAATGAATCGACATTTAATATTTGGTGGATAATTACTTGGATAAAATGGTGAGAAAAAATTTCCATATTTAATTGTATTATTTAATAATTTATTATGATGAAATTCATAATCACAAAATGTATTTTCCTTATGTTTTCCATTATTTTGATAATTACCTTAGTTAAAAATAAAAAAAATTAAAAAAAATAAAAAGTAGAATAAAATAAATTAAAAATTAAAAAATAAAAAATAAAAAAATTAAAAATTAAAAAATAAAAAAAATAAAAATGAATTTCTCTTCTTGAGTTAAAAATTCAATTTATGAAATAATGAATTTAAACAATAGAAAACCATGATTATTGTATTTGATAAAGCATGACAGTATTGTATTATGTAAAATGAGTATGCGGGAATTTCGTTTATATTTAAGAAAATGTTTTTTTTTAATAAAATCATTTGGTGATTGTGAATTATTTACGTAATAAAAATTGGTTTATTATTATTATTACTATTTAATTGTTTTATTATTTAGTGGTTTATAGATTTCATATATATGAAGTCGGTAAAAGCTATAATTATTAGATGAGGGGTATGTTTGTGAAGATTGTAGTAATTTAATAGTTGAGTTCATGAGTTAATTAAAGCTAGACCAATATGGAAAACTTGGATGGATTGGATGGCCGTTTCGTTGTATTGATGGACTTCTCAGTGGTGCGCATCCATGAACCTGCCATAGCTGATTAGAACCCAGCACTTATCAATCTCGCGTGCTAACACTTAACCATTAGACCACTGAGCTGACCTCCATCTAACGGTGTTAATGTCTAATTTCAACTAATCTACGAAATTGTCATCAGTGAGTCACTATCTCATAATAGAACCGGTTGAACTCTACTGGTCATCGCTTCTCACTAGAACTTCAGGAAATACTTCTCGAAACAATTTTTTTTGGAAAACTGAACACTGAACCGATTGATTTTCTGTTTTAGTGAATACATCGACAATAAGAAAAGTTGGTTTTAATTATTTTTGAGTTCTATCGTGAAATTAATAACAGTAAATGATGTGTGTTGTTTTATGTTTATTATGCACAATTAAAGTTTTGGGTTAAAATTATTCTTATCAGATTGTGTTCTTTTTGGTGGAGATTGTAGTAATTTAATGGTTGAATATACAAGTCAATTAAAGCTAGACCACTATAGAAAATTTGGAAGCATAATCTGCACAAAAACCCTCAATCTGATAATAATCATCTTGTACTCGTTAGTGATTGGCTTCAACATATACTTTGATGGAGTTCTAGTGAGAAGCCATGACGAGTGGATCGCAACTGTGCCTGTTGGGAGACAGTTACTCACTGGACAGAATGATGGACTTTGGCACAATATCGTGTATTGGTTGAAGTTAGATATTAACACCGTAGGATGAAGGCTGGCTCAGTGGTCTAGAGTTTGAGTGTCTGCGTGGGAAAATGTAGGTCATGATTTAAGTGATTCCTGAGGGTTGGTGGATGTGCACTGCTACTAGGACGAAACGGTGGTTCATTGCTTCTAGGTTTTCCATGGTGGTCTAGCTTTAATCGACTCTTGAATTCAACTATTAAATCAAAATAATTCACTTAAATACAATTAACGTTAAAAGTAGACATTTATTATTCATTCTGAAAACCCCCTTTGTGTATTCAAAAACAGTTAGTTCTCACCTTAAACCTACCGTGGTAATATTGGCTTATTATCCAGAGTGATTAGGTTTCAAATTGTGTTCACATTAATATTATTACAATAGTTGAGATCATAAGTCAATTGAAGCTAGACCATCATGGAAAACCTGGAAGCACTGGACAGCCATTTCGTTCTATTGTGGGACTCTTTAGTAGTGTGCATTCATGACCCCGCTTCGCAGGATTCTAACACAGGACCTGTGAGTGCTTGACATCTAGACCACTAGGCTGGCATCCCACAGTGTTAATGTCTCACTTTAACTAATCCACGAAATTGAGTGACACATTCACCATTGTCATCATTGAGGTACTATCTCACAACAGACTCGGTTGAATTCTATTGGTCACTGCTTCTCACTAGAACTCCAGGAAATTCATTTTGAAGCCAGTCACTAGTTAGCATATGTTGATTCATATCAGAAGGGGTTTTGTGTAGACTGTAGTAATTTTGATATTTGAGATCATGAGTTAATTGGATGCCGACTCAGTGGTCTAGTGGTTAAGCGCTCACATGCGAGACTGATAGGTCCTGGGGTTGTATCTCGCGAAGTGAGGTCGTTAATTCGAACTGCTGAGGAGTCCTACAGTACGACAAAACGACCGTCCAGTGCTTTCACGTCTTTCATGCTGGTCTAGCTTCAATTGACTCATGATCTGAACTATTGAAATTACGTCAAAATCTCCTCAAAACCCCTTCTGATACTTACTTTTATTACTCTCACTATTATTATTATTATTATTATTATTATTATTATTATCCTTGTCTCCTCTTACCCCGTTTACAGTCTAGTTGACCTTTTATTTTTATATATAAATATTCTTAACAAGTATATTGTGTATGACCAGATTGTTCAAAATGTATTAAACTAGTATATCACCATATAGTTATGATGATCATCGTCTTCTTATGTATCAAAAAAGGGACTAATTACTTTAATTAATGTTCTTTTAACACATTAAACAAGATAATACATTACAAGACTTACTTTTTAAATCAAATGTAAATTGACCAATAAATCCCATTTGTTGATGATATTTGATACCAGGAATTTTAGATGCTGTATGAAATATTAATAATAATATAGAACTAATTGAATAAAAATCATTTTGTGGAAAATCATTTAAATCACCGCATAATCTATAATCCGCTGGTCTAGAATAATTTATTGAAGAGATATTCATAAGATTAGAATGTTTTGCCATTTGATTATTTGATTCAATTGTAGTAAACATATCTAAATAATCTATACATCTGAATAAAAAAAAGAACAATAAAAAGGATAGAGTATATATATAGATAGATACCTGGAAATGTTATTCATTACGTAATCTATATTAGTTGTCATGTGAAAGTTACATCATTGAAAGTTTACAAGTTAATTGGCATCATTTTATAAGTCGGATACATAAGAAAATGTAAAGGTAATAATATAATCCTTTATAGGACAATATTGTTTTGTATACCAGATGAAATGAAGTGAAATATTAAGAAAGAATTCTTTAGTGGGACTATTAAGATGTGATGAATCTAGTAATAATAATAATAATAATAATAATAATAATAATAATAATAATAGCACTTAACTGGTGGTGGTTTTGTGATCTAATAAATTGGTCATTAGTAATGTGAAAACATATGGAAAAAACCGATGACCTTGAGGACGTTTCAGAAGATAATCACTGAAACTCATTTATTTGGGAATTCTGGAATAATTTTCAGTATCTTATACTTCAGTTATTTGCTATTGATATTTACTTATACAAACAAATTATGAAAAATAATATCACTCAAGGTCTATATCTGAGCTGTAAAATATGATTATCATGGTTACATTCAAATTTATAATGAACACATGTGCTTGAGGGGAGTTATCATTTACCGGATGACCATATTGCGAAAAGATATTTCTTTTTGTAGGACCTGAAGAAGAAAACTATGATCTTGACGACTTGAGAAATTGATCACAAGAACTAAGGGACAACTACTTGGGGTCAGTTACATCTGACTTTTTTAATTGAGAATTTCTGATGTATTATCACCTTACTTCAAAAAGTCTTACCAACAAAGCCTGAGCTCGGTGGGATAAGGTGAAGTATGAAAATTTTAGCGACTACCTTTTCTAACTCTTTCCTTTCTTTATGACATGGTAACACAACTAAGGTTAACACTTTGATGCTGTCACGATTCTATATAGTCAGATGTATAGCTTCACCCGTGAAGCTTAGGTTGTTGCTTTTAGTCTTACAGTTATCCGATTGACTTTTCTGGCATTACGGAATATATGTGTTCCAGCTGAGATAGCTCGATTAAGTCACTGCGATAAGCAATCATGACCACAATGTTAAGGTAGAAGCTTAGGTTCAGAAAATGCGGATATACTCATACAAATATAACAGACAAAACATATTCATTCACATCAACAGAACATTTCATGATCCTACAGTTTACCAACCTCAACAAAAGAAATTCGAGTGTACTCTAAAATCTATTTTCAACGTACAAGTTTTACTGGCATAAGCCTTCTATTATGATACTGAAACAATGATTAGACCACATATGGTTGCAGTTTGACCCGTCATTCATATAAGAAATTGAAACATTCCACATATAATACGAAACAAATATCATGTAGGATGACGAAAGTAAAGATATAGATTAACATGATGGACGACTATATTGTTCATTATTCCGTTTGATGAAGAATAAAACTCATCAATAGATTTCATGAACGATTTCTTGAAGCCTATCCTGAACAATTTTAAGCAGTTAAGTAAAATCCACTATGTTGAATCGGTGGGTGAGCAGTTTGCACTACATGTGTGGAGAACTACTACAACCATCATCAAAAAGATATAAACAGTTGTCTACGCAAGATATTGCATATCCATTGGCTGGATACCATCAGTAACAGGCTACTCTGGCAGTGAACTTGGCGGCTTCCAGATAAAAAGGATATTAGAAAAAACACCGGAGGTGGACAAGACATACATGGTGGAAACCATAAGATTGCATCATGAGGCAAGCCCAAAATTGTGATCCTCAAGGCCAAACGAAAAGAGGCAGACCAAAAAAGGTGTGTCGCGCTAGTATTAGTGACAGACTTCTAATAAAATGAATAGATATTGGAAACAATTGGAAATCAGAGGCCAGGACAAAGTTGTCTGAAGAATCCTGGTCGATGGCCTATGCTCCACGAGAGGTAGCAAAAGTAAGTAAGTAATACTGGTGATTCGTTATTTCAAATGATTTATTCAGCATTTTAATTTCTGTATCCTCAGATAAGAATATTAGCTAAATTTTTGAGATAACATTTACAGTTATCATTCAATACAGTTCGAATAAGTTGTATTTATTGATGACCTAAGTCAAACAGACAAAGGATAAATGAGAAAGGATGCTGACGCGGACACCCTATTGATCAACATATGAATTCACTTTCTAATGAAATAGTGGTTATTCGTCTGCTTGCGAGACCGATTGGTCCTGGGTTCGAATCTCACGAGGCAGAATTGTGGATGTACACTGCTGATGAGTCGCACACTAGGACGAAACAGCCGTCCAGTGATTTAAGGTTTTCCATGGTAGTTTAGTTTCAATTGACTCATGAACCCAACTATTCAATTACTATAACATACACAAAAACCCTTTTCTGAGAAACAAACATATGTTAATGATTGTCCATGTGGCTTTCTTTCATGATAGTTGTATGTCCATGTTTATAAAGAAGTTGTTATATATCCTCAATTTAGTTTGACCAATAAGCATTTCCAACCAATGCTGGGTTTCCTCAATCTACAAGTTGATCGCTTTTTATTAGAGAAAGTTTGTGTAACAAATTATAACTATCGCTACTACTCTGTTACATAGAAGAGTGATTTGCCTTAATTGAACCAAGGTTAGCAAAGGAAATTCGATTCCTTCTTCACACTAACGACACAAATCTCACATATTACATGAATCTTCAAAGTCAAAGTCTACTAGAACCCATTGATTTATGCCTCACAACATATTTTCAATTCAACAACAGAATCTACGAACAAACAAAAGGGACATCGATAGGATCACCAATATCAGAACTGATCGCTGAAGTAGTGATGCAGAGACTAGAAGCCTCGATATTACCAGTGATCAAGCCAAAAATTTTGATCCGCTATGTGGACGACACATTCGTCATCGTCAAAAAAGATGAGCTGGAAAACACGTACAAGCTAATCAACAACATCAGGTTCACAATAGAACAGGAGTCAAACAACAAACTATCATTCTTGAATGTATTAATCACCAGAACTGATACAGGAAAACTGTAAACTCAAGTGTATAGGAAGCCGACCCACACAGATCAAACTCTTAACTACAATAGCAACAACCTAAAAGCTCACAAAATCAACGGCGTACACACTTTGTTCAAGAGTACGAAGAAACATTGCAGCACACTGACAGCACGAAAACTGAAGAAAACTACCTAAAAATCATCTTTCAAAAGAACAACCACTCAATCAACTTCATCAAAAAAAATACCAGCCACATGCATCATCACAAACAAAGTCAAGCACAGAAACGAACAAATGGATCACCCGACCATACCTAAAAGCTATATCAGAAATCATAACGAAACTGCTGAAAACCATCAGTACTAACATATTTTTATCATTACAAATGATAAGACTATTTCCCGGTTTTTTTTAAATTTTAAATCTACTAAACTACCCATTAAAACGTTTAATTAGTTGAATTTAATTGGGGATTAAAATAAAAATACAAAAACATAAAGCAACACAACAATTTTGAATACTTACTTTTTCTCAATAGGTTTTCTTAAATTGAATGTTGTAAATGTAATTTTCACTAGTTCATTAGATAAACCATGAAAATAATACAATAAACAATTTAATTCATATTGATAATTTTTCGGATAATTCGGTGTTTTAAATATACCCGATTTATACATTGTACTATCGAATAGAAAGCATCGACAATCTAAAATAATGAAGCAAATATTATGATTATTATTACTATTAGTAGTAGTAGTAGTAGTGTGGTGTGTGCTACTTATATTGACATAATTAGTATATGATGTTGGTCGCGAACAGAAGGTCTGGCAGCAGAGAGACGAGAGGAACGAACAGTAAAGAATAGGAACAGGATGTAATTTGTGTGAAAATGCAAGAACAATGAAGTCTGAGACATCTTGAGACAATTGGTGGACATTTTTCAAATGATTGTTAGATTTTATTAACAAGTTCTGTAATTTTGTGTTAAATGGATTCGATTGTCCCCACCCGTGTCCTTGTTCACTACAGTAGTATTAAGGGTAATAGTGTGGTGTGGGTTACTTATATCCACACAAGTAGTAAAAGACGGTGGTCAAGCATAGAATGCATTTCAGTAGAACGTCGATAAGGAAAGAATGGGAACGGAACGCGATTGGTATGAAAACGTATGAACAAAGAAATATGAGACAATGGATTGATGTTTTCAACAGGAAGAGTGAAGTTTGAGATGATGGATTTATATTTTGCAAATTAACGATTTACATTATGATTCTCAGATTCTATTGAGGTGCTCTGTAATTTAGTATAAAATACATTCGATTGTCTCCACCAGTATTCTGATCACTACAGCAGTAGTAGTAGGGGTAGTATTGTGGTGCATGCTACTTATATTGACATAAGTAGTATATAACACTAGTCAGGAATGTAATGTCTGGCAGCAGAAGATTGGGAAGATAAAGAAAGGAAGAGCGGGAATAGAAAGCAATTGGTATAGAAATACGAGAACAATGATGTCCGAGACAATTACTGAACATTTTGCAAATCAGGTATTTACCAAGTAACTCTGTAATGTTGTGCTAAATATAATTCGGTTGTCCTCACCTGTGTTCTCCTTTACTACAGTAGTACTAGTATTAGTAGTTGTAAGTAAATAGCGATTTTTATTTGAACGGAATTTGTTTTAAGAAACTTGGGAAAAAAAGTATATAGCTGTCTTACCATTACACTTTCGCCTATATATGCATATACATATGTCTTGCCATTAAGCTACTTCTTATCTTAACTTTCTCTTCACACATTTACTTATACATGATATCTATTAAACTAAACTATTTGTATTCATTTAAGTGTTTTTATTATGAAAATCATAGAATTTTGCATTCTTTCTTATGGTATAACTTTCCTATGAAACTATTCACTAGTCATTAGTTCAATGAAATAGATAAAACACACAACCAAATTAAGCAAATCGATCATTTTTCTTAAAAAAAGAAAAGAAATTTAACAAAATATTGAAATTTCAGTTATTGAATGATTAAAGAAACTGATTTCGTTAAGAAGGATTTATATGTGGCTTATTGAATACATTGCGTCACAAGACAAGCCCTCACATGGAATCCTTAAAATCAATGGAAAAGAGGAAGACTAAAGAACATATTATGCCAAGAAATGGGGACAGATATGAGGAGAATGAATAACAATTGGATAGAACTAGAAAGGAAGGCTCAGAACAGAGTGGGTTGTAGAATGCTGGTCAGCGGCGTATGCTCTATTGGGAGTATCAGGTGTAAGTCCGTAAGTAAGAATTGAACACATTATCTATGGCATTCGGATGATATTATATGACTATTCAAATTTGGAATCTAGTAAATGTATCCTAGAAACTATGACTTTCAACAATTATCGTTGATCAATGATTTGTATATCGTATAAATTACATGTTTACACAATTTGCAAGAAAAAAACAGTAGAGTTGTGTAGATAATAGATATTATTATAATGGATTGACATGATATAGTCACATAAGTGGATCATTTGGTATATATATATATATATATATATATATATATATATATATATATATATATATATATATATATATATATAAACAGTCAACAGGTAATATTCATAATTTTACTATTGCTTTCATTTCCTCAGTGTAATCGTTATCAGCAGATTGATAAATAGGCATATATATAATTTACGTTTGAAACTTGATATTTCCACATTTATGTGTGATCCGGGCAGTATCACAGCCCTCACGCAAATCAAATGAGGTTTGTATGGCGCATATACATCTGGTGCCCTCTTGTACCAATATCTATGTGTTCAAATATATAAATACATTTTAGTGTTGTATATGCAATCCTATTAAAATTCTGAAGGGATTATATTCGCTGATTTGAGTAGTTTAAATTAGAACCATTCAGTTCTTTTTGTATAATACAATTAACAGACTCGGTGAGACTATAATTTATGGACGAACCAATCACATAAAGGATGCGAGTCATAAATTTTGGCGCGAAATTCATCCATACATTTGGCTAAATAGAGTTTTGGCATCATAACTGATGTCAGTTCGTGATGAAAACCCTAAATCTAATTTTTAATCCTAACCATCGACTGTAAATGATAATTATAACTGCTTTATAACCCTCATTTAGTCTTAATCAGTAAGTGTCCACTCTCATGGTCACTTCAGCGTCGTTCAAAGGTCGTCTATAAATTATAGTTTTTGATGGAGTTTTGTTCTTTGAGCTGGATGGGGAACAAAACTCCATCAAAATCATCCACCTGAGCTACAAATCTTCTCCACCATCTCATAAATTATAGTCTCACGAACAGACTCTTTTGATATATTTCCAGATAATATTCTCTGAAGTGATAATAGTAGATCCGTAAACAACTTTCCATCTCATAGAATGTCACATCGTTATCTTGATGAGCTTGAAAAATTCTTCATCTCAGTTACATGACGATCTATATTTTTCTGAAAATTAATTAATTAGAATTTTAGGTGAATGATAATTCCTATAGTTTTGACTCATTTCGATTATGGCAGTATGTTATTTGTCAATATATTAAGACAAATCAACGTGAACATCTATCGGATCACTTTAAGAAAAGATCAGTTTCTAAAATAATGCATAAAATATAATGTACACCATACAGTTGCTTTCGTTTCACAAATTTCAAAATTAATGGTGTAAGTTGTTGACCAGTATGATTAGTTGGCTTCATGTCATTCCTTTCATCAATAGAACTACATAGAATTGAATTATAAGCAGATGTGTATGATGGCTAGAAGTGAAATCTATAACGTTCATTTCTTCCTATTTAAAATTCATCATCTGATATGACCTAAGGAAACATTTAGGCAATCCGCATATAATGTACATATACCAAAAAGAAACTAATCAACTGAAGTTTTAAACATCAATGGAAAGATTGAAATAACCCATAAAAATGGATAGAAACAAATGGTCTAATGAAATTACATAATTATTATTGTTATTATTATTAAAATTGAACATTTAATTGCGTGTTTTGATAATGGACTTCAGAAGAACAAAAACCGATTGTTCCGTACAAGTAAACAACTTTTAATAGGTGTCGTGAAAATAAACACTCTTAAACAATCAATCCTTGAATCATTGAAATACCATTGATGTATGCCAAATACAATCATTCTATTCTACCAACAACAACAACAACAACAAAACATGATCGTGTCTACTTCATTAATGTAATCCATAATTTTGTTATATAAAACTAAGTGAACATCAATTCAATTGTATTGTATTCATTTAACCATTTAGAAATAACTTCACTGAATTCAAATTTCAATTCAGGCATTTTGATGAAGCAACTTATAACAATTCAATGCTTAACTATCATTGCAATTACCATTTATCCGTGAAAACAATTTTCTTTTCTTTTTTTCTTCATTCATTTTTTTTCTTTATTAACTTCTCTTAGCTTTTGATTGTAATTAAATCTATTTCATTTTAAAAGGGATTGAAATAGAATCTATAAGGATTTAAAATAAAACAAACAGCAAGTAGAGATATACATATTTATTTGAGTAAAACACATGTCCATAGTTTCATTCCTGTTAATCATTTTCTTTTTTTTTTTTGAAAAAATATTCAGAATTATTTATTCTGTTTAATAAGAAACTCCATCTTGAGCCCCACTGAGGCTACTTCCGGTCCAAAGTTCAGATAAACGAGGAGGGTTGAGCATGGGGTTAGCAACCACATCCGAAGAAAACTAATTCGCTAAACAAAACGCTAACCAGAAAAAATTATTTAATGTAAGTAATAAGGCATCAACAGTGGATGGTGGGTCAATTTCGTGGATTGGTTGACGTTAGACATTAACCCTGTTGGATGCCGACCGGCTCAGTGGTTAAAAGGTTAATTGTCCACGCTTGACATCGAAGATTATAGGTTCGAATCCCGCCCGGCAGGATTGTGGATGCGCAGTGATGAGGAATGCCATAGTAGAACGAAACAGCCGTCCAATGATTTCAGGTTTTCCATGGTGGTCTAGGTTTAATTGACTCATAAATTCAACTAGTAAAATTACTACAATCTCCAAAAAACCCTCTTCTGATAAAAAATCATAATTAAAATAGATCTCAAAAGTCGAAAACGCGAAACATTCTTCTGATAATATACAATTACTTATTATTTGTAATGTCATATCGTTATCTTACGATCACTTATATTTTCATGTTCTATATCAGGACCTGGTCTTAGCTAGACAACTAGGAGGAGTTAAACGTTTCTTCCGTTCAAGTATAGAACTCCTAAGGAGTTTGAATCCATGGCCGTTTGACTAGGAATTGAAGTCAGGATCTTCTGCCTTAGTCGCGAACACTTAATCTCTAGACTACACTTCTTTAATTTATCCAATTACAGTCTTTTGATGAGCCCTTAATCTCTTGACAACTGAGTTAACATGTGAAGGTGTATATGTCTAAATACAGCGACTTATGATATTGTGCTACCATCTTCCATTGCATTCAGTTATTAATTTTCTTACATCTGACACAGTTAAATCTCACCAGTCAAAGCTTCTCAATAGCACTCCAGAAATTACATTTTGAAGCTAGTCACTAGAAAGCATATGATTGCTATCAGTATAGAGCATTGTTGCATTTAATTGGTAA